TTTTCCATTTGTAATAATAGATGGAATTGAAAATAAAATAGTGTGAAAAATTGTTTTAAAAATCTTCTATGAAAAAATAAGATACACTGCATCGTAACTCACAGCCAATGTAAACCGAAATCAGTTTTTATTCATTGAAGGGTTAATTCAATGCTGTCACAGTAAAACCGAGAATTCTTAACACCCCATTTTAGCTAATCTACAAAAAGCAGGTATTCTGAATGTGCTCCAAATCAAATATACAAAACAACCTTTAAAAATGTAATGATCCAAGACAGTAGAAGTACAATTCGTCATTTAAAAGCATTGAGAAGTATTGAGTTATTTCGAACGATTCCCTAAATACCTTTCGGCTGTCAAACCTTCCAATCAATTCTTTATGTATCTTCACGCACACGTTGAATTGTTATTATGCTTTCACATTTCAGATAAAATACGATAACAGTCCCTCATCTTTGGTCGTGTATGCTCGAAAAATTACGTCTCTGGCAACCACGAGTTTCAGACCAATGAATTAACTTCGTTCTCTCAAATACGTACTTCCTTCACCTAATCAATCTTATGAACCAGAAATTTCCAGACATATGACTTACGTGTCATAGTCGTCTTGAATACCGGTTTAAAATATTTTTGTGTTACAATGAACTTGTCACTTTTGAAAATCATTTATGTTATGGAAATATCTTTTATGTTTAGTATTTTACTACTAAAAATAAGATGAGTAGGTGATTGATATAGCATTTCGAATTTTACACTGCAACTAATTTGATGGGTGTTTTCCTAAAATTCCGTTGAACCCATCCAAATGAAAAAGAATGTATGGATGAATGAATAATTGGATAAAAAACCTAATGACTGACACTAGCCCTTTATCGTGATGAAACTGAAACTACGGAACACAATCGTTCCAGATGAAATAGGCTATTTCCGCAGTTTGATGCTTTACATTCAGCCACCCAGACTCAGAAATGAAATATCATTGCCCCTCGTTCTTAGCTTGTCGTAGTTTAGGCTAAAAACAACTGAATTTCTCACCAATTCGATTGTGCTCCTCTTAGCTGATTGGCCGAGCGTGTATTAGTCTTCTGTCTACTTTTTACCGAGCTGGAGGAGGGAGCAGTTCGCATCTGTCCTACCACCTACTGCCGTGTACGAGGACCAGGATTGCATTCATTCATATTTTTGAACTGACATCCGTCCTAAGAGAGTAAGTATACTCAGTAAACACGCCCAATTATCGCGGAGTGGAGGCCAAGTGGAAAACAAGGCCATTTCCCGTGCTTCATTAATTAACCCAATTTGGCCCAGATCGTATATATTTGTCAGACTAAAAGTGTGTTAGGGAACGAAGAACAATTCATGGGAGGGGGGTGGATGGATTTGAACTGTCAATTCACAGGGGCAAATTATAGTCTGTTAACTAATATTTCGCTTCATTTAGACCTAACATCTTGGCGGTTTCAATATGCAATGGATAAGGTTAGGTGTATATATCATGCCGCTGATTTACTCCTGAACATCTCTTCCAACCCAATATACCCGTTACTAATTAAGGACAGGTTGCTAATACGTTTCTTCTTCTTGTGAATCAAGCCATTTAAGTCAAGCCACTATACACCTGGCCTATATTTTTCGATAGAACCACCCAAAATGACAAACCAACCACAGAATAACGCCTTGTTAGGCTGGTTTCTTCCAAGTTTAAACGGACAAAACCTATGATAAGCGAAAGCAGTATGCACGTGCGCCGTGTGCAGTGAAATGATCCAGGATACATTTATTCAAGTAAGCGAAAGAGTTTAGCCTTTCCTGTCGATTCAATATTTAGTCTTTTATTTTTCTTTCATATAAAAAGTATATACCTACACCTAATGTAATGGTGCTTTTTCATTAGGAAACATATGAACGTTTCTTTTATTAGCTGTCCGCTGTTGTTATTTCTTCTAAAAACTGTAATTGTTCGGCTGCCTTGATTGTCTTGCTGAAAAAATAATTATTTTTACCAAGGCTCAATGCATTGAGATGAATAAAAACAATTCGCAGTTATCTACGATAAACAAGTGTGCAGTTCCTCGTGGTGCAGTGCTACTTCCTTGTTTGTACTCAGTGGAATTCCGTACAATCTCTCTCTCCGTTTCACCCACTATAGAATTTTTGTATTTTCAAGTAGGCTATTAAAATAATTATATCTTTCATAAATTTCCGTTTTTAAGTTTCTTGTAATAATAAAACAGACAGCAGTCTGGAGCAGTCTCACTCCGAACCCCTCCTATCAGGCATTAAGAGACTTTTTCAATTGAAGAGATCACTGTTTACCACGAGCTTGAATGCGTATGCCCCAATCCCACCAACCAGTGGGAAGACTGTGGTCAATGACTTGATGAGGCGGATGTGACACTGCGAGATGGGGAGGATATCGGCAAGTGGAAAACAAGCGGTGTGTGTCTATGTGGATGGGTTTTCGCTGGGTGTCGAAATCCCGATTCCTATTCCTTCAATCCTGGTGGGAAATTTCATGTTACACTTTTATCGCTGACTAATAATGATATAAGATGATCCCATATTTTGATACCATATTCGGGAAAATGAGATTTTATGGCAGATATATATATTTCAAGAGAGAATGGAGACGTATACTGCGTTGTATATTATATAAATATCTGTGTGTGTATGTTATCGATCTTCTTGCTGTCCGTCACAATTTAAGATAATATTCGACCGAAGAACTCGAATGAAGATGATGTGAATCTACGTCATCGAACTTGGTGATTTCCCTCGCTCACCGGATCGGTCACTTCATCCCACCTCAATGGACGTCACAATGTGCCCTAAAGAAACATTTCTTGTTTTCTCATTTGGACTTTCTTAGTGTTCAAAAATTTGATGTACTTTAAATTCGACTATCATGCGGTTTCCTTGTGTCAAATACCATGTTGAGAAGCATAAGAGGAAAACCGAATTGATTTCCGTGATCAGGGCTGATCCGAATGAAGTATTCTAATCAGGTGAGTGAAAGACATGTCAAGAGTCAGCACGGTCAGTGTAAACTCAAAGATCTACGATGTGGTCCTGGTGAATTATCAGACAGCGGCTGACATGCTTCCCTATCAGGTGCTGTCTTACCCCACACACATCTGTCCGTCCTACCTACACGTGTGTTCACACTCGTTGATTTAGGCATGTGACACACTATACACACGCACGCACATCGTGACAATGCTTACTAGTTATGCGACGGCGACACGCACTGGGACAGGGCTACCAGTCATTTGACCCATTCCCGCATTCACGAACCCAGCCGATCAACGTACTTGACCTTGTGACATCAGCNTAATTAGGATCCAACACACAATCGACTTCACACCAGACTGTTACGTACGATCCCTGTGGATTATATTACGTTGTTTATTTACGCAGACTCGGTAAATCTTGATGTGAGTACTTACCCCTTTCACTATCAATGTATGCCAATCTCCTACTTACGTGTACTAAATGTTATTTGTTTATTTTTTACAGAACCGCGTTGATATTCATATACGTATTCCGTACGATAAGGTGCTTACGTTTTGCTCAACTCAACTGGGATTGCAAATAATCAACCGAGTAATCAAATCGAGAAAAGATTCACGTTAAAAAAGATCCACGGAGCTTACAGTCAGATATTATTAACTGTTAAGTGGTACAGTTGTTGGTCTAAATAAGTCCTGTCAGTAGTGCACTCGAATGGNCTCGAATGGGACAGAAGTTGATTCGACAGTATTCTGGGTTTGATCAGCGATTGGTTTTATCATAAATTCCTCGCGTACATTTGGCTAAAATCAATGCAAATTCTGGGCAGATAAATTAACCCGACTGAGGTGAAAATGCTTGGCGGGAATTTCAAACAGTTCGCGCGTTCAACTTCTGGTGTGACCTCAACTGTACCCCATTGATCCGTGTGCAGATGTTGAATGAAATGCCGATTCGAACTCCATCAATGTTGCTTGTGTTGTTGTAACCACACTGAACGTTCTCGTGGTTATTTACAGGAAAGAACGAGGACAGAGTAACGCATAAAACAGACGATTGATTGACCGGATTGCTCAACCGTCCCGATTGGCTGGCGGTTCCGGCCAATCACCTAAGTTCATCTATCGCAGTTCTGCCTCTGAACAAAGCGGTTTTCAGGAAGCATGTTGACTCTATGACAGCTTACCTCACCACTTCAAATGCATTACTAACACAGGTCACACTAGAAAGTGGTTGTTCAAATATGCTAAACAATATGCCAAGAATACCATGTTCAGTGGCAGAATACGTTCTTAATATATGGTATTGGCTCCCCTCTTCTCCGTAGATCAATGGCATCTCGACTGAAGGAGAGAAACAATGGCTATCCGTTTATAATGTCACAATCGATGTTCCAAATAGGGCTCAGTTACTTCAGTTCAGTTGTCTTGAGCTGGCATTAGGTGGATACAGTACCATGCAAACCACAAGAGAATAATACAAACTAATCGGTCTTGTGGTATTGGTCTAATCTCCATCCAAGGTCACGCTCCCTCTAATCAAACACACTAATCATGCACGTCGGATGACACTCACTCCTCAACTGTATANGATAATTTACTCATAAATGGCCTTCAACGAGACTCAAGTACACACCTCTCAGAACGCGATCCGCATAAATTTGGGAGAATCTGACACAACTGGGGAGAAATAAAGACTCCGATATAAAATAGTCACTATTTGTAGATACATATGCATAAGCGCGGTTCTATGCCTAAGAACCGTCAGTTGGCCTCAACGGGTTTGAAGGTGACAAAATAACTGATCACACCGAAGTCAAAACAGTTTGGGCACTATACAAATATTAATAAGATTGATCAAGCATTCAGTGTAGTCCCCACGAAAAATAATCCATCTGTGAAAGGGAAAGAAGGTAGATGGAAGGTTGAGTCGTAATATCACACACACACACACACACACACACACACACGCACTCTGTCTCATTTGAGCATTCATTCGCTCAGACTGGACAGGAATTGGGCGATCAAGAATGTCAGGATGGAAACAAGTGCTTGAGCAGTCACGTGACATCCTTTACAGATGAAATTATAACGGAAATCCGGTCCATCTGAAACAAAAAAATGAACGTATAGGACATTACTTCAACATGGCTGTTCAAGATTAGCACGCTGTAATATAAAATTCAATTGAAAATCAATTTGATGGCTGCACATAACACCTTTTTCTGTCATTCGTTCAACTACCAAAGAACCGAGTGTAACGTCACCTGACCAGTCGGGATGAGCGCTACATAAGAAAAAGACTTGAACTGTTATGTTGATTTTCACTCTCAAACGTGTAACTTCAGCTTGAATCGTTAGTGAGGGTGGCCTTCACTTTCATCTTTCCGCAATTGATATTCACACCCTTTTCGCCTTGTATGGATCCTGTAGATCTCGTGATCCACCCGATATACGAGACGCTTTTGTTGTTTGGATGATGACTGTCTACCCTTTGACTTAGTTCACTCCTCGATCGTTTGGGTTTGGGTTGAATTTCCGTTGAATTACGTAACCTAAAACACGCTTGTAATCACCTCGCTCGCCGTCTTGTTCTCAGAATCTTTGATGCTTTTTTCGGTTTGTGTATCCCTGAATTATCTGGTACCGTTGGCTCTATCTAAGAGACAGAGATCAGAGTCACCTCTCCCGGTTACGTCCGGTTCGTCCGGTTTGGCAATGAACTACTTTTGTTTTTACACCAAAACTGTTGTCTAGTACTGGACCAAGCAGCCTGCTACATGGATTTTATTTGAAATGTTGTATAGTCTCAATTGATTACTTTGTATTTAAAAGACACTCTTTGAACAGTTTTCACTCGAACGATCAGAGAGTTGAAGAGTTAGTTTTCTCACCTATCATTCACTGGTTACAATTGTACACTTTGATCACAAAGTCTCTTGTTTAAACTGAATTAGCTACTAAATATCGCGTACAATTCACGTCTGTATTTCAGGACGAAAAGTTAACAGTTTTCTGAATTCCATGCGAGGAATTTGTAGAGTGAGTCAAATTCTGCAGAAATAACAGTATAAGACCATCAAGAGTGCCTGGTGCCTCTGAACAACCGAATGGGCTAATCCAAGCTTGATACTCTGAACAACATAAAACTCTCAAAAACACAATATGGGGGAACGGTAGGTATAATGTAGTTATAAACGGGAGAACCTTAAATAGACATCATGTATTTATCGGGCAATAAGGGTTCTTTATAAATCGATTCCGGGGTAGTGGGACCAAACCTTACTGACCAAAACGTAGTCCCTTTAATCTTAATTGACACTTGTCTCCTGAGGAAACATTTATTATTTCTTCAAAAAGCGCAGTTATCCCGTTTCGAAAAAGAACTAAAACACCATCGCTTTAATTAGTAATTGAATACATATACCTTCGCATCCTGCTCCAACCTCGTCTGTTTGGTTACAAAGTGATTCGATCCTCAGTTGGGTAACTCAATTGTTACGGGTCATTGTGTAGTGGACAGGACGGAAGAAGTGTAAAAATGCTGTCCATGTATTGCCAGGGGAATAATTGATTCACTTTAGTCAGTGGAACTCGATGAAGGAGGAGGGGGCGGGGTGCACAGATCATCAGCCTCTTTTGCTTTCACTGTGATCGTCTCAATGTCAGTTTTCTATTTCTTATGTTAGGGTCAGTGTCCCGACTTTTTGTAAGCACATCTACATGGAGAGGAGGCCAATGAAATCTACCGGGTAGCAAATATGATTTTCTTAAATTCCAGGCAAATTCCTTCGCTGAGGCGCGTACATTACTCATTTGAAGTATTTTATCGTCATCTGTTTCCCTCACGCACTTTGTTGACGACCCACGGAGGCAATGAACAGCGATTTCTTCCCTGTTTGGACTCATCAGCAGCGTGTCTGTTTTGGAGACTCTGAGAACGGGAAGCATCGGATTAGGAGCAAATCTTACCGCACAGTAAACCAAGCAGACAGACTTGAACAATTCACTCACCCCACGTGGCACCTGGAACACATTTATCTCTGGGTATGATTTGGAACTGATTCACCGGTGAACTCATTTTTCCCACTCCACCTCGACTGTATCCGTATACACGCAGATTGTATCGCATATCAGCCTCCAATCCAGTCACATAGCCGTACGTTTTCAGTCCAACATCCACGTCTTTGAACGTCTGTTTAAATTGAGACCCGGCAGGCCAATATCGAATACAGTATCCTTCCACAGATTCTTCGTTCGGACGCGCTTGAATCCCGACCCACGAAACGCGTATTGTGCCCGGTCGATCTGTGGAGTTTAGGGTAACCATGGTAGGGAAATCCTGTGGGGAGATTTTGAATGTGGTTTGCTCGGTAAAACTGGATTCGGGTCCATCACCGGCGCTGTTGAAAATCTTTGTCCGTGCAGGATAGAACGGAAAATCACAATGAAATGAGTAATGCCCAGTGAATAGTCCCATTTGTGGTGTTTATAAAACTCTTATTTTAAACGCGTTTTAAAATTAAAGAAAAAAACGTTTGAACATTTGAATTGGAATAGCACAATGATTAGTTTACATTCCGTGTTTTGGTGTAGTACTTATTCGGCGTTGCAAGAAAATAGATGATTGTGGCATTATTAAGGTAACTCATAGATATTTGAGGGTTGAACAGTGAACATTCGAGCATATAAGTTCAAATTCATCTTGCTCACAACGGCCAAGGACATTGAACATCACTTGTTGTGGACGGTGTTTGTATGACTACAATTGTTTATGTATTCTTGAGTAGATAACTATCAAACACTCAACATTTATTGTGCTATCCTTCTATTTGTCGGATCACTGTGTTCTGGCACCTTACACCTTATTGATTGATTGTATCCTCCTATATTCCACCATCAGTCCGGGTCAGGTAACGCGCCGTGATCATGGGCAGGGTAAACGAATGAGTGACTAGCTGAAAATAATCAACATGCATGCATTCTAATACCCAAACACTATCTCCTATATTCGATCCTAGTGTTTTGGAACCATCTTCGTTCCGGATACACTTAATAGACCAGGACTTGAAGTGTCATAGAGCAATCCTTCCATTTCTGATGTGATTAGAAGAAATATTAGGCGTTTTTAACAGGTTTGTGGTTTTTGTTTCTATCTCCGTGACAAATAACATACATTGAACTGAGCATTTATTAATCATACAGCTGTTGGGGATACAGACATTGAGCTGTCAACGGCATACTTGTCCAGAATGCTTGAATTGACTTACGGGTCTAATCGAAACTGAAGTAACGGGTCCCTGTGAAACACTTGTGGGTTCGTATAGGCAACAGCATTTATACTGAAGTAAATTTGTTTTCCAAATAATGATAAACAAGCCTTGGTGGGTCTTTGTAGCATTGGTTCTCCGGATTCGTTTATACTCAGCAGATAGAATGGTTCAGAATGCAGCTGATATTCCATTCCGTCAGAAAGAGTATGAATGGCGGGGAATAGCTTTCCGTTGGATAGACGAAAACGATTTTATGCAATGCCTTTTTGAGAGTAATACGAATGGGGTCGTCCTCTTTTTTGAATGTACTCGGTTTACGGCCTCCAAAAGTTGTTCTGGTTGTTGTTTTCCCATGGATTATCCTGTAAATCATGCTATTGTTAACGTTAAAGCATTGGACAAGATTTGATTTAAAAATTCTTAGCGTGTGTGCTCGTGCAATTTTATTTCTGTCCTCTTCACTGAGATAACGAGAACTTTTGTTTTTGAGCGCTGCTTGCTCCATTATGGTGACAACAATACGAACATTGAAAGCTGTACGCCAAAATGACCTTGATTTCAAGGTTGACTTTCATGAAAATGGTATTTCTCGAATTCAGTGAGTTATTTAATGCAATTTCTTCGGGTTGTGAAAGAATTTAGTTTGGTTATATAATTAAGTTGTTATTGTGGATTATCTGTCGGATAAAAAAATGCATCATAACAAACAACCAAGAGGGCAAGGGTTCATGGAAATAATTTGGGATATTTCTTGAGTCATTCCTATTAGAAAATATTGCGTTTTCATGCTTGACAAAGTTTGCGATTTTCATGTTGAGATTATTTAATCTTGGCAATCAAGATTAGACGCGTTTAATTTTCAATCATGCAGGCTAGAAACTACGAAGATCAAAGTAGACAAGAGATAAATTATTGTCATACCTAAAGCATTATTATAGGTGGTGAGTATAATGAAACTCAATTTGATACTAGAGAAAATATTTTAGTGCATCACAATCTACCAGTACTGTAGCTTGGGTTATGTTCGTTCACAACTGATCGACCGGAGCTTACCTGAACTGCAATACAGTAATATGTATCCGCGTCCAGCCCGATGATCACTCCCTCCGTTACATCTCCATGCACGGTTTGCCGTTGACCAAGCTGATAACGAGCCAAATCCGACTGCAGGGAACGACAGTCGGACACACGGGGCCAGTAGAGTATCCGATAGCCCCATGTTGGGCCTTCACCTTCCGACGGGAGTGGTGGTGTCCACCAGACTGTGATCGCGGATGAATTCAGTGCACCCGCGGTTACTCCACCCGGAGCATTGGTTGGGACTCGAGCCGCGGACATTATTGTGACCGGATCGGTTATAGGGCCAATACCCTGGCAAGGGTTTGAAAACAAGGCAAAAAAGAGAAGCATGAAAGGGGAGCTTTGGACAAAATTGCGGTTGGAACAACCTCCCCTAATTGAGGACTGAAAACTATAGATATTGCGGTAGCTTCAGAGGTTGAGGATGGACAAATATTTACAGGCAGTAAAGAAATCTGTCCACCTTCAAATTAATGGTAGTGCATTTACCTGATTTTGTCCAATAGAAACTGTTTTATTCTGATATACTGTTCAATTGATTAAAGTAAGCTTTTCCCGAGAAGAACCTGAAATCAGGAGTCAGTATAGCAACATTGCACATTTGACGTCTTGGACAATTTCACCGCATCTCAACTGGTACCTACGGCAGACAAATACACTGTTTCCCTGGGGTTTGGGAATGTACTACAAAATAAACTAACGTGAATGAGGAAAGGGTCACCAATATAACGTCAAGATGATGAACACGCCCTTCTGTTGACTTCAAGATTGGTATCCATCGATTAATTCCAATCGCCTCGGCGATCTGTCATTATTATTAGTATATTAGTATTATTAGTATAAATCATTCGAGATGCTTTCTCTCGATCAAAGAGGTGTTGGGTAGACAATTGTATGATAATCAAGAAGTTTGGTGTTTTGTAAGCACGAAACATGCTGGTTACCGGTTAAATGAACCTTGACATTGTAACATTGCGCTGAACCCAGTTCGGATGGTGTTCTAAAACCCGATTACGTAACTGAAATTCTGTGTGAGCTTCATTGCACCCGCATTGAAATTGATAGATTATGTTTCAGTTGGCCTACAACGGTCGACGTTCTTTAATCGGAGAGAAGGGCATGCTTCTTGTCTTGTGCATAATCCTGGGTTTGGCTATGGTAAGTCCGGTCGATAATCGATTGTAAACGTGGATGGAATAGATTAGCTACATCATCGATATTGAATGGAAGACAAATGATGAATTCCAATCTGCAAGTCATTCCTTAGAATGTAAATGAGACCTTCGTAGTATGCAATAGTAAGAGCCTCTCCAAAACAGTAACCAGTGAACCAGTTCTCACTTGTTCCGTTTGAATGTGCTCACAAATTATCCGAATACCTTCACGAACAGGAACACTGGTAATTAGTGGTTGCACGAAGAGCGAAAAAAAGTTCATATAGTCTCATTGTTTTACAATATCTTACTGTACATCTTACAGTATCTTTTCACAATGTGCCTAATCATGGAATCCTAACTACCCGTAATATGCTGAATAGCCACTGAGCTAATTCATTCTGTGGTGAGTTTCTCGTCGACAGGATGGGTCTCAGTGGTATACCCAGTTTGTGTAATTTCGACAGTCCATGCATTTGCGGGGAACGGCTTTCTCGTGTCTTCAGTTTTGGGACTTTCGAGAAGGAACTGAAATTCGGCCGCAACTTTCTGCTCCAAGACTTTTGGATCAGTGCATGATAGTTCAGAGCGAATCTTCGTGGAATCACTCAGAAAAGATTGCATTTTGTAAACAAACTTTGATTAATCGTATAACACTATCATATCTTATATCGGGATGTAGAAATGTGAGCTGTGGACTGAAGTTCATTCAATGAGATCAACTATTCTATCTTGAGCAGAGAACCTTGTTTTGATATCATTATTGTATAGTGTCGTTCTAAATCCACCAACTTCACTTTTATCTAACCATATACACTGTATAAACAATGTATTTGTCTGCATTAGGCACCAAGTGAAATGCAGCGAAATAGTCCGGGACATCAATGATGCCAATAGTGTTGTGCTGTCGAAGTGATTGTTCATTTTATATTTAATTTTCGACGTTTCTTTAAGCTTCAGTTTACTAGAAATCGAACAATTAAGGTCGACCTGTCGCAATGTACGGATACTCTTCAAGTGAGAATACCATAGAATACCTTTCATCAATACCGAAAGACTACAAATGTCGCGAGCTGTTAACATATATTCTATCCGGCATATACATATACATATATATATAGATATATACATATATATATATATACATATACAAACATATATATATATCACAGTAACCTCGTTTGCAACAGTTAATAAATTTGTTCGAAACGCTCTTCCAGGACCTTTTCATTAATGAGTCAACACAACAGCGACATAATCCGCGAAACCCCTTGTGTCCAGAGAAGTTTTATCCACTCATCCATATATTATTTATTGTAAATTAACTATGGTACATTGAGTTGATCAATCATACTGGACGAGTGTAAAAGTAAACAAAGATTACCAAACATGGAAGACAGAGGTCAGCATCACTGTAATCCATTAAGTCATCAACTTTTCGGAACATGAAATCCGGTTATGTAGTTTAATAAGCAAAATTTCACTAATTGCCAAACACTTAGCATGGCTATTACGTAACAGCCAACCAGTAACAGTAAGGATAACACTAGCTCTTAACACAGTTGATCCTCAGTTTCGTCTTTCAAACCATTGCTGCATTTCGGAGTGCTAAATCTCTGGCAATTAATGAAACGCTGATTGTTCGGTTACATCGCCCAATTTTACACGCGCAAAAGTTGTTGACGTATTCATCCTACTCCCCGTGGGGTCGATCTTTCACTTTCAGGTTTAGTGATCTTTTTTAGATTTTAAAATATCCCCACTGATGCCTAAGAACAGAGAGGAAACGTGAAGAAATTTCTTCTCGATACATCGCTTTAGGTATTTACATACATGTTCTTAGATTGGTCAAAATATAAATACAAGGCCTAGGCTGATAGTAAATGAGTGTGTGTGCTTTTCCACAGCACCTTAGAGCTATACCAAGGGGTTATGCGGAAGATCCTGACAACTGCGGAATTCAAAGCAATTAGAATTACTAAGCCGGATTTGTGCAAGTAACGTAATGTGGTTCAAGTGTTGCTGGTACCATGGCAATAGGAATATTTGCTTCATATTAATATGTTACATCTTTTTCATTTCCCCCCATTCCTCATTCACTGTCTCTTCTTTGTCACACTTCCACACCTGTTGTATTCATTCTTGACTACCACCTTCTATATCGTGTCCAGTTCACACATTTCTACCCGGCTTTTCCCTGTTAATTTTTCGTCGCCCCATAGTCTGTTGTCAACTGAACACTTTGCACACACATCCATCCATTCACCGTCAGCTTAGACCTTTTAATAATCCATTGACTAATCAGACTATATATATATGTGTGTGTGTGATTGAATGCTTAACCATCACGACGAGACTGCACCTTGACGTGGTGTGATGGCTTGCGNNGAACGTTTCGAGGCTCAGTTCAACTGGCCCCCATCGACATCTGAACTGTCCATCTCCGCCTCGACTGGACAAATACACTCAGTTGATGCTAATCCTCCATCTGAAATGGAGATATCTCGGGAAATAAGTTGTCTCAAAAGGTATAAGGCCTCTGGCCCAGATGGGCTGTTCCCATCCGCGTTTAAGGATCGAGGTTCAGCGTTAGTCTCGGAGTTGATAAAACTCCTGGGCTCAATATGGGAAAGAGAAGAGGTTCCAGCTGAATAGTGTGAGTCGGTGATCATACCGATTTACAAGAAAGGCAATAGATCCTCTTGTGAAAATCATAGAGGAATTAGTTTAATCAACATCGTCTCTAAACTTCTCGATGGCATCATACTCTGCCAATTGTCTGCCGCACGTGAACGGTGCACGCGTGAGAACCAGGCTGATTTTAGACCCGGTCGAGGTTGTATCGACCACATCTTCACTCTGTGTCAAATTCTGGAGCACCGGCATTCTTTTCGTAGACCCATCATCTCTGTCCTCCTAGATCTGAAGGCGGCTTTCGACTCAGTCGACCTCTCTAAACTCTGGCGCTGCCTTTCCCTGAAAGGTGTGTCCGAGAAGGTAATATTACAATCGCTTTATACTAATAGCCGAAGTCGAGTCCGGGCTTACGGCACTTTTTCTCCCGAGTTCACCACGGAAAGTGGTGTTCGTCAGGGTTGCCCTCTTCCTCTTTTTCTATTCAACTTTGTTATAGATCTGATTATGGAAGCAGCCCTATCCACGTGCGAGGATAGTGGCATCGATTTACTCCCAGGTGGCAGGCTGTCTGATCTGGAGTACGCAGACGACATTGTGCTACTAAGT